CTGAGACCAATGAAAATCCAGTGAAATTTGTCTTTATACTGAACTATTTGCAATATTTATAAGTATCAAAAGGTTGATGAGTAATTTGCATGACTGCAGGGTCAAACATTTCCTGACATGTCAGGTTCAGTGGATCATGTACTTGCTCCAGGTTCGAGTCCGGTCCCATTCTCCTCCCACCACTACACTCTACTTTCCACTCTCGTCAACGTAGTCCATATCAATGACAAAAATATATCTTGACTCCATATAGTGGTTATTTTGTGAAAATCCTAGGTATTTTGAGCAGTAGGATTATAAAAAATATGTGCCAATCTAAAATTAAATTAAGTAGACTATATAAAATTGCAAAATAAATCTATCAGTACTTTTTTACTTAAGTACATAAAAAATCGAGTACTTTTGTACTTTCACTCGAGTAAAATTGAAAAAGGAGTACTTTTACTTTTACTGGAGTAATATTTTATTATACGTATCTGTACTTTTACTCAAGTACTTGATTTGTGTACTTCGTCCACCACTGTATATAGCCTACCTTTAGCTTGTCAGTGGGGCAGTACCCTCAAAGAGACAGCTCTGTGCCTTATCTACCCCTAAACTTGTACCTTAATGGTTGATATTAGTAACTTGAGGGTATATTTCAGTACATTAAGGGCTGATATTAGTAATTTAAGGGTTTAGATTATAAGGATTGATATAAGTAACTTGAATATACATTATCTATACATAATATATTAGTATCTTAACGGTTGATATTTATATATTAAGTGTTCATGTTAATAAATTAACGGTTGATTTTCAGAACTTAAGGATTCATATTTGTACCTTAAGGGTACTAACATTTACACTTAAGTTACAAATGTATCATTTATAACTTAAGGTTACATTTTAGTTCCTATATTTATTACTTAAGTGTACATATTAGTTCCTTAAAAGTTAATATTCATAACATAAGGGTACGTAGTTATATTAGTAACTTAAGAGAGCATATTAGTGTATTAAGCCATGGTAGGAAACCCGCATCCCTAACCTACCATATGTTGTTCTTTTCAGCAGGGTTTATACATGACCAACAGTCTTAAAAAGCAACAGATATTTGAAGATGGCTCTGTACCAAGACAGTTTAGTGTCCCACAGTCTCCGTGCAGGACATCTTCATCTTTTGTCGACCTGGAACGTCTCAGACCACAGCTGGTGCGTGTCCCACCGAACTCTTATTCCCAAGCTCGGCGCAGGATCGCCCCGTTGCCCCTGCGGCTCCTTTTCGTTGCCTCCTCTTACCTTTTCTTTAAAAAATCCCTCCCTCTCATCTATTCTTTAAACAACCTTTCCCTCTCTCCAACAGGCTGCCCCACACACTCACTAAATGAAGTTAGTCCAGCACCCCCCTCCCCATCCTCTTCTGCTCCCTACCAGACACACTCACAGAATTGTTTGTTAATAGTCCAATTAGATAATTGGCATCTTTCACTCCTTTTGCTCTCCATTTCCCATAAAGGACTGAATGGCTTCGGGGGGGGGGGT